AGCAGGAGAGGGGCAGAGAGAGAGAGAGAGAGAGAGAGACAGACAGAAGATCTGAAGTGGGCTCTGTGCTGATAGCAGAGAGCTTGATGCAGGGTCGAAACTCACAAACCATGAGATCACGACCTGAGACAAAGTCGGGCGCTTAACCAACTGAGCCACCCAGGTGCCCCAGAGATTCCTATCTTTTTTCATGCATTCAGAAGGAAGTTCCTCACAGATGAGCAAAAATGCTTAATGCTGGTCACTCTAAGTGAAGGGAACTGGTAACAGTCACCAAAACAAAAATGTGTTTCTTCTCCATACCAGAGGGCAATTGTAGGTAAGGAGACCCAGCCTCTGAATGGAGAAAAGTCTAACTATTTCTATTTGTACTTGATTTTCTATAACCAGAGAACAGATGTGGGATGTATTGGCCATCAGGTCTAGAAAGTTCTGGGATTGGGAAAAGTATGAGCAGTTTTGACAAATGTAGAATTACATGGAAATCCAGGATTCATCATGCATTGACTCCTCGGCCACACAACTTCCAGGATACAGGGAATACAAATGCATTTAGCTCCCATTAAATAAGAGGCGAGAAAACCAGACGTTCCTTCACTGAAATTACTTCCCTGAGTATAGGGATCAAACAGGACTCACAATCAGGGAGTCAGAATATGTTCTTTAAACCTTCAAATTACTGCAAATGAGGTGCAAGCCTCTGTCCTTACTCTGTGCCCTTTCTGCCTTGTTTTAAATCCTCTGGAGGGGTGATTTTCCTCCAGACAATTACATCCCATCCCTCAGAGAAGGATGGCTACTGTGTGTAAAGTCATTCCAGCTAAGCACTATGGGCTCTAATTTCATCACAACATTATGAAACTGATCAGTTTCTTTGTATAAAATCTTAAAAGGGCTCTATGGACTCTTTAAGCCAAAAAAGGGCTTTTGAAAGCAGTTCAGGAAATTGCCAGCATGGAAGCGATTTCCACATGTGTCTCTCAATATTGCAATCTCTCCCTTTAGGTGTTGATCTTTCCTAGACTGTAATAAGAAATGAAAGAACAGCTTATTTTTCCTTTTAAAAAGAGGCACAATTAAAAAAAAAAAAAGTCCCCAAGAATCTTGTATGTGGGAATGACATGCAGACCATTAGCTTTCTTTCCTTGGCTTTCAGGCTGATCTGTATTCTCAATTTGCTATAAGTATTCCATTCCATCTAGGTCAGGAAGAATTACTTGTGTGTAACTGAAGTGGAGTGTGGATTTTAAGCAGAGCATGTGATCCTAAGAATGCAGAAAGATGGTATAAATTTGCATCTTCTTAAGAGGAACCCTGTCTAAAAACACTGAAACCATTTTAATCTAATAAAACAAAAAGGGAAGAGATGGAAATTCCATCCGAAGACTTCACACAACCTTTTCATTTCATTTGAGTAAAGAATCTGTCCAGCTGTTAAATGCCTTTGAGGGAGATTTTTTAAATTGTAGTGCACACTAAAATGGAAGGTTAATACCATGCTTTGGAGACAAGGGGAGCAGCTTCTATTTCTGGGTAATGAGTCATGCCCTTCTTCCTGAAGACCTTTCAGAAGTGAGAGTTGAAGTTACCTGTGGGCTAGAGAGGCCATTGCTCCAGGAAGGCCTGTGTCATCAATGAAGACACACAACACGTATCCTTCGGGACATCTGAGTCCCTTTGATGCCCTGCCATGGAGTACAATCTTGGCCTCCTCCTAGCAGGGTTGATGATTATTTACTGGAAACTGACTTGTGGCTCATTTTGTGGTATTTCTTAAGCTGCTGCTTTTGAATTTATATGAGTGTTAGCCTTGGTCTTTTTCCTTCTTCTCTCACTTTGCCACTGGGCCATGCAACCCACATGGAATTGGATTTCTTGGAACAGATTTGCTGTCGATTGATGCTCATGCTTTGTCTTCAACTCAATTTCATGTGTCAGAACCTTAGGGTGACATATACGAATGAATAGGCAAATTGCACTTAGTACTCTTCTGGCAAGTTATCTGAGAACTTCAGGGTAATTGCTTAAAGAGAGTTTTTACTCTTAAAGCTGGTCCTAAGCATTCAAGTTAGTTCAACTTCACAAATATTTTTGAGCATCCACTGAGTGAAGATCTATGACAGGTGCCATAGGGATAGAAAGATGTAGGAGATATGGTTTGTCCCTCAAGGACTTTGCAATCAGGAAGGGAAGACAGAGAGTATGGAAGAACTCTAGTACATGAGATACTCACCATACTATCATATAGACTGTGGAGCCCTGCAGAGAGTTACGAGTGGGGAATAGGTGTTGTTGGGATTGAAAGGTGAGAAGAGTTTTATCATGTAGAGGGGATAAGAGGTGAGGGCATTTGGAGCAAAAGGTATAGGAATAAAGAAACATAGAAGAGTAAACCATCACTGTGTTTGTGTGTGTGTGTGTGTGTGTGTGTGTGTGTGTGTGTGTGTGTCTGCGTGTGTGTGTAGAAGGGAAGTACAGGATACTGCAGACCTTGCATGCTGGATGCTGCTAGAGATACAAAGACAAATCAGGCTCCATGGCCTCCCAATCTAAGGACTTAGTGTGGAAAACAGGCATATGCGTAAATAACTTTAATGGATAATAGACTGTGAGAGAGACTAGGAGAGAAGCATATGCCATACTCTGTGTGCATCTCAAAGAGAAATTTAGGAAGGAAGAGTTTAATGGGACATAACATGATTAGATCCAGGGAGTAAGATAGAAAAGTCAAAGTTGACTTCTGCATTTCAAAGACCGTACTCTGAATGATGGAATAATAGACACAACAGGTTTTGCTCCTTGTTCAGATAAAATTTATGACTTTTTTCTCTGATTCAAGATAAGCACATACTATAGTTTTAGTCACAGTTTGATGTATTGAGTTGTCTGATGTTCTCATAAATGCAAATAAAAACTGAAGTCTGCCAAAAAGGAAGACAATCTACTCTTGCACTGGCCTCAAACCCTATATGCAAATAGGTACCTTCTGAAATGAGTGCCATACAACACGTATGAAGGGTCAATGTATTTGCAAGTAAGTAAGGGGATGGAATAGAAGTGGTGAATTTAAAACTCAGAGGAGTTATCTATCCAAATCCCTAATATTTGGGAAAGTCTCACAAATATATTTTCTTCCAGTTACTGTTGGAATGGCTGAAGAGAGATGGCTTGGTGGGCTGTGGATGTGGAAGGGAATGATCTGTATGTCAGGTTTGGATAAGCTACAGCTCTAAAGGATGGGAGACGGGAAAATGTATATAATATGCATAATGTCTTGAGAAGAATGGAAGCGGGGTTGAGTCTGAGAAGGTGGCTAAGGGCTATCATTTACTGAGCATTTATAGTTTGTCAGCACGACTCTAGCCACATTATGCTACTAGCTCACTTGAAAGATCATAATAACCTTACACAGTAGATTTTATTATTATATTTACTTTACAGATGAATAAACTGAGGCATTAAGATTAAATAACTTGCCAAGACACACAACTCTAAGTGGGTGGTACCCAGAGTCTTTGCACTTAATCCTTTTGTCAAAATAAGTCTTAATAACAGAAGGCAAGAGAAGAGAAATATTTGACCTTAGGGTGTTCCTGTATAAAATTATCTTTTGTTTTGATTTGGGGAAAAGAAATACATAAAACCTTGTTAAATTTCCTGGGGGAAAGGACTGAATCAGAGAATCATAATTTTAGAATTTTCAAGAACCACGATCTATTGTCATTCATGACGATTTCTCATTTTTTGGTTAAGGAAATTGAGACTGAGAATCAATTAAAATGATCTCATGTTTGCTGGAGGTTAAGAACATACCCAGCACACTGCTGTCTAGTGAGGCAGAATGATGCTTGCCAGCTTGTTGACATGAGCACACGTGGGCAAGGACCACGAAGTAAAGATCAAACATCTTAACACAGGGCTCTGGCTCTGGAAGAGAGCCTTATAACATGAGAGGGTCTACTTGACTTTCTAGGGAAGCAAAGTAGAAGTCCAGTGGGCTTTTGACCCAACTTTCAAGTGAAGTGTTCACACTCTCCTAAGGTGCTCTGATTGGTTGTCCAGTCTTGGCCACCGGAAGACCAGAAATGATACTCCTTTCTTTTTCCATAAATTTACTTCTAATAAATTCTCAGTGTACAATATAGACTCTGTGTTGGCTGGCAACTTGCTTTTCTCAACAAATCCAATACACTTTGGCGTTCATTTGATGGTTGAAGTCCTTATCAAGTCTGTCTGAAAGTGTATGAGGAGGGTTTGCAAAGTGGCAAGGTGTCTGGCAGATAACCTTGTGCTGGCTTCAAGTTCAGACTCCACAATGACTTGCAAGTGGTATAACCTTGGGCAGGATTCTTTACCTCCTTAAGTCTCAATTTTCTCATGTTTAAATGAGTGAAATAATAATCCCTGTATCATAGGGTTCTGTGGAGGATTAAATGAGCCAATACAGATAAAGGGCTTAGCACTTGCCTGGCTCATAATGAGAATTCAATATGTCTTAGCTAATTACAACAAACAAAATAAATTCTTTATAAACTTGTATTGTGTAAATTCATCGTTATTGAAAATATAAATTACAGTAAGATATAATGAGTCTATTATAATTATAGTAAGATAGAGTTACCAAGTTTTTTACTGCAAAAGGCAAACTTCTTTTTTTAAATTGAGTTTCCAAACTGAGAGTCCCTCTCAGTAGGGCAGGTAACTGGTAACAAGTGGTCATTTTTTAGAAAACCTTTTATGGAGACTACTGTGTTGTTCAAAGTCAGTCATGTGAAGACTTCTGTGAAAAATCTCTTCCAGAATTTAGAGTTAGGGAAAGACTTTCTCCCGCTGACATCTTTCGTACGTTGGAAAAGGAAAGCCACTCCCAGTCCTGCTCGTTTTGCTTTGACTGTCAATGCCTTGGTGCTAAGTTTTTATGTTCTGTTGCAGAAAGGTAGGTTAGCATGAATTTGCTTTTTCTTTTGTCTTATTACTCATTTTAGTGTTTTCTTTTTCAGTTTTATGATTTTGGTGCCTGATATTTTAAGTTTTCTCAAAACTCTTTTGTAAGCTGGAGGAGAGAAATGTAAGTAAATACCATAAAATAATATCACGTGGGTGGTTTTTCTTATAAACACACCCTCTGCCCAATTCTACACACCTGGTTTGCAGTGCTTTTTATTTGACCCAAAGTCCAATCAAAGTGGCAAAGTTGACTTTTATATAAACACTTATTTTATGCTTTAATAGAACAGGCTATGAAAGTCCTACCCTCACAGGCATTTAATTTCAGTGGGGAAGGGGTCTTACAAAGGACTAGAGGTAAAGATTGTTTTGTGGACTAACTGACCAGGTGGGGACATAACTTGCTAATGAGCCAAAGCAGTTAATAATCATAAAAAAAAAGGACAAATTACCAAACAAAAACAGCAGTTAACATTTCTAGTATATTTTAAAAAGCACCCTCATATACCATGACTTATTTGTCCTGTCAGCCCTGCAAGTAGGAAGCCTTACTTTCAGCTTCATTTTAGATGAGAAAACTAAGGCTCAGTTATGGTAACAGACACGCCCCAGATCTCACAGGAAGTAGCGGATCTTAATTCAAAATCCTGGGTTCTGCTTACTAGTCCAGGCTGCCTCCCTAAGGCCTAACCTCATGAGTACAACAAGGAAAGTTCTCTTTTAACCTCTGGCCCTGTGTCCAAAGGTTTGTTCAGTAGAGGACAGGGAGCAGCAAAGAGTTCTAAGTTAGCAATAATTATCTTTCAAAATATCATATGACTTCACTCATACGAGGACTTGAAGATACAAAACAGATGAACATAAGGGAAGGGAAGCAAAAATAATATAAAAACAGGGAGGGGAACAAAACATAAGAGACTCTTAAATATGGAAAACAAACAGAGGGTTACTGGAAGGGTTGTGGGAAGGAGATGGGCCAAATGGGTAAGGGGCATTAAGGAATATACTCCTGAAATCATTGTTGTACTATATGCTAACTAACTGGGATGTAAATTAAAAAAAATAAATAAAACTTAAAAAAGAATTGTCTTTCATATATACTCCATCGAGGTTTTTCTTTTTCTTGCCTACAACTAGAGATACTTAAAATCAATCTCCTCTTAGTTGGGGGAGGTTTTTGGCAAAGAAATTTGTGCAGTAGCAGTTAGCCAGGCCTACCTGTGTTAGAGTCACATTTGCCCCAAACTCCTGTACTTTCATGGGTCTGAGCAATGAGGAGGTTGATATCTACAGCTGTAGAGCCACAGCTGTGGATTCTGCATAAGGCAGATCATGAGTCTTGATGAATTTTTCATGTCTGAACTGAGAGTCTTTGCTATTGGGTAAAACAGAAAGCGACCCGTGTAAGTTAGACTCCATGCAGGAAGAGTCACCCACACCAGAAGGTGGGATTTCCTGGATACCTAGGACAGCCTCTAGGCAGAGTTCATCAAACATCTGATGAGGAGGGATGGGTAGCTAGACTTGATTAGAACTGGTTTTACCGACATGTGAATTGTATTTTATGCATGAATGAACTGTTTGGTGGTGGTATGTGGTACATTTCTTCATGTGAGTTTACTTTTTCCAGAACCTTTCCTTTTGTTATCATTATAAAGCACTGAGTTGTAAGAACTCCTCAGGTATTGATATGGCGAAGTCACTGATGGGGTGGACCTGTCCACCTCCCTGGTTAGCAGAGTGGGCTGACAGATCAACGGAACTCTCAATAGTCTGTGCCTGTTTCCACTTGGATATGCCACTGCTTGCCATCAATAAGGCAGTATTTTCTTGAAGATTCCATTTGAAGATTGCTCAGAATGTTTTCTTCTGGAGAGCGTGTTTCCTTTTCATAGTCTTGCCTGACACATGGAAATGAACATGTCTATGCATTTCTCTTTAACATATCCTAAATTTTCAGAGTTAGAACTTCTAAGGTCTCATTTGAAGATCAGCCTCATTTTCCAAATAGGCCAGTAGGAGTTTCAGTGGGCAATGTGAAGTTTGAATGATCTTGTCTTTCTGGAAAACTTAACATTTTGTTTTGTTTGCTCCAGGCGCACCCCTCCCCAAACCACATTCTTTTCTTTTTAGCTTATGAGAGAACAAAAGTCCTATCAGGAGTAACGAAACCACCTGAACCATTCTTTTTATATTTCCAGAAATAGTTTATGGGGCCACTGAAAGATGTTGATGCTATCTTTTTAATATTCTGAGAAATAATCCTATTAAACAAAAAACAAGGGAAACTGTTATGCCCACAAAGCGGAATTACCCAAAGCCGACTGGCAGGGGTCGAATTACTTTTCAAAACCGTAGCTGTATGCTGCTTCTATCGCTCCATCTAGGGCTTGGTGAATGAGCAATAATTTGTGGATTCTGCTCATCTCTCTTTGCGAACTTTGTTCTGTGGAATTAGATACAACTTTGACAAATTAGAAAAGGCCTCCCTGCGCCCGCTGTCCCCAGAGTAACACAGTCCACTGATTGTGTGCTGGGCTTCTGAAGTCTGGCCGTGTCAGGCCATCAGCAGCAGCCCCGCCACCAGAGTACGCTTTTTAATAAGCAGGTCTGTCAGCACCGGGTTCTTCGGATCTTCCGACCTCTCCTTAATCCTTAGGACGCACTGACTTTCGTCTCTGTTTCACTTATGGCAGAAGGCCCTGTGCCGGGAAAGAAATATCTTCTTTGTTTACACCATATAGGCAACAAAATTAACCTTTGAGATTAACTGTAAGTGAGTGAGGATCATGTTTTATCTTTCCCTGGGACAAGGGGTAGAGATTAACACGTGCATAAAGGGAGTGAGCATGTACACGCGTGTGCATGCATGTGCACATCCCTCCTCCATTCACATCATAGCCCCAAAGAACTTTCTGCTCCTGTTCTCTCTCTCTTTCTTTTCTTTCTTTTTTTTTTTTTTTTCTTTCCACATAGGGTTTATTCTGCGCTGGATAGACCTAGTAAATGGTATTCCAGTTTTTTCTAATCTTTCATTCCATTTCAACTCTTAGAGAAAGGAGAAGCATATGAAACATCAACATATTAAATGACGCCCAGTAGGCCTATGGATAAAAACTTATCTTCGGCTAAAGACATGGGATCATCTCCTTTCCCAGTGGAATTCTTTGGCCCAGTAGAGGTAAACATTGTCTCAGTGTACAGCAAGAACGATAAATGATTCACAAAGATAGAGGAAAGTGTCTCTTTACTGGTTTACATGTCAATGTATTCATGTTTAATAGTGCCAGATGGGAGAGTTGTGGTTCTCCAAGATACAGGGAATACTAGCCTGGTAAATACTTCTTTCCTTTGGGCTTCCCACCCTGCAAACACAAACTAACAGGAAAAATGAGAGATCTTATTCATATTCATTTCTAATTTATTATGTTTCAACTGCAGTTTGACCAATTACACTTGCGGAACATTTTTTAGGAGTTGACATAAACATCAAAAACAACAGTTATGAGCAAAATTTGTCCTGGGGAGAGAATGGAAGCCAGCTGCCTCAATATAGATGTTATTCTTGATCTCTGGAAATGTCTAAAGGGTAGGACAAGATGAGGTCAAGCATTAGGTGATTTCTGACCTATGGAAAGCCCAGAAATGGACCTCAGATGTCCACTGTGTGCTGCTGACAGCATAGGAACCACCCATTCTGCTGCGTGCTCTCCATTTTTGATGGGGTCTTAACCTTCAAAAACCAGCTCAATAATGACAAGGAATCACCACCACCATGGTGACTAAATCCAGGCACCCTACTTATGGCTCCTGTCTCCATTTCTTGAAGTTGCTGAAATGTCTGGGACTTAATAGGGTAGTGATTCATTCTGGCCACAGCCATTTCTTAAAGCCAACAGTTCTATTAGAAACATATTATGATCCCAGTTTCTTCATATTTAGTTGGATTCTATGGAATTTGATTACTTTTATAATTTTGTTGCCTTTCATCAAACAGGATGATTTTCTGCTGGTTTCAGTTCTATGCTCTCTCCCTCTCCTCTCTCTCTCCCTCTCTTTTTTAATAAACAGAACAAAATAAAGTGACATGTCAGCACAGAGAAATTTTATTTTTCACTCAACAGTGGCAGTGACCATAACAATTAAATAGAAGAGAAAAGGGACTTTGTTGTAGGTGCACAGTTGAGGTTATGCAAAATGGAGCAATAAGCAGGTCAGTTGCCAGGGAGCCCATGATAGAACCGCCGGTGTTTCAGGGGAATGAAAAGAGCATGTGTGTTGGGATCCCCAGTCTCCCCATTATCATCATCTTGAGCCAGGTACTTAACGTGTGCTGCGTTAGTTTTGGCTGAGGAAAGTGCTTGCAGGAAGCGGTTTTTTAAGTTTCCTTGATATCTCTGGGAGGTAATAAAGATCTCTATTTACAAATAATGCACTTTCTGCAAAGTGCCTTTGTGTGGGCATTGCACACCCTAGCAAAACGAGAGAGGTTCTTTGTTTTGCCTTGGTGGGAAGCGCAACAGTTGAGTCTGCAGGATGCCTGGTTTGCAGCCAAACCTTTTCCTTTCTGGGTGTGTGACACTGTTCAAGTCATTTAACCTCTCTGTTCCTCTGTATTATTATTTCTGGAATGGATTTAATAACGATGTAGGGATCCCCGAGGGACCAGCAGATGAAAGGACAGCACTTTATTTCCTGGCTGTCTTGTATCCTTTGAGATGCTGCCAAGTGTCACCTTCTGAGCAAAGCCTTCCTGGACCCCTGGGGGGCTGGGGGACCCCCCCCCGTCCAGCTCACTGAGAACACTTATCATACTACATGCAACGCTGAGTTTATGTGGCTTTTCCACCACTCGCCTGCTGTAAGCTCCTTGTAGGTAGGAACGGTGATTCTCATCTTGTAGCAAATGAAACAGAGCCCAGCCCAATGGCTGGTCCACAGCAGGTGCTGTAAAGACAGTCGAATAATGGACAAATTGAACTCTATCATTAAAAAAGTGCTCAGAGGGATATTAGATTTGCTAATGTCTGTATATCAGCTCCACGTGGCAATGTACGTTGAGGCAAATTTGTAAAACTTTAACTCAGGTTTTACACATTCTTACAGTAGAATTCCTTAAAT